GCACTATTAGAAGACAGTGGGTATGTTAATGATTGTATATTTATCAAGATGAACTATTGTAATTATATAGTTGGTATAAAGTTGATTATAGCAATGCAAGTAAGTATACTAGTCTGGGGACGTGGTGATGGATGCGGATATACTGCTGGTTCTTGTGGAGGATATATTGACTCAAAGAGAAGACAGTATGTATATGGTACTAATGAAATAAGAATCATTTAAATATATAGAAATCAACCAATAGCTCCATTCTGTGATTTCTTTAATGATGATGAAAATCCTCAAAACCTATCTTGCAATATAGACAGGACAGCAGTTGCTTTTTGTAACCTTGTGGATAATTACAATTATGTAGCACCTTTGGCGGTATCTATACCTCCAGAATATCAGGTACAAAAAAAAAACTTTTAAATTGTACAATTATTTGCATAATTTTAGTATTTTAATTCAGGCGCAAATTTTAACAGCTCAGCATTTAGACTCCCATTTTATGGTGGAATTTTCCAAACAGCAGACTTCTGTCCATTTTATTTTTATCTGGTAAGCATGGAATTTGTCAATGAACTTCAATTTTTTTATTATTGACTATAGTATAATCAAGCCCCTCGAGGTATATGTAGGAAAGGGATTCCCCTAAGTAATATTAGTAGTAAAATTATTAAATCATAATTATGTCATACAATAGCTGATAATAATGAAGCAGCAGAGAGATATGGACCTAGGTCACGTTGTGTGGATCACTCTGGAAAGTGGCAGATCACTAATGGCTCAAACACATACACTGCCCAATACAGTGCAGGATGCTATGAGGTATAGGCATAAAGACTGCTTGTAATTTTGTTACAAGTCTTGTTCACACCTCAAAATGTGTGAACAAGGTGTCAAAAAATTATAAGCAAAAAATTTTTTGAGGGCATAATCAATAGGCTTCATCTGATCCCATTCACAGAATACAAGCATTCCTAACACATGATCATGTGCTGTAATTTTTTGTGGGTCTAATTTTATATCATAATTATATGCTATAATAA